CCAGCTCACTGCACCCTCTGTTCCCTCACCTGAGCCCTCTGACGAGCCATACCCTGAGCTCGTTGGATCCCTCACGTACGCGATGATGTGCACTCGGCCAGACTTGGCCTACCCAATCAGTGTACTGTCCCGCTACATTGCACCTGGTTGCTTCACTCGCCACCACTGGTTTGCCGCCAAGCGGGTCCTTCGCTATCTCAAAGGCACACAGGATTATGTGCTCACACTTGGCGGCTCTTCTCCTGTTCGCCTTGAGGGGTACAGTGACTCATCATACGCTGATGACCAGAGCGATCGGCGCTCTTCTCAGGGGTATTGCTTTACCCTTGGCAGCGGGGTTGTGAGTTGGCGCTCCACTCGGTCGTCCTCAATCTCCCTGTCGACCTGTGAGGCAGAGCTGTATGCCGGGACCATGGCTGGCTGCCCAGGAGGCCCGTTGGCTCTCCTTCCTGCTGGGTGAACTCGAGTATCCTCAACACGTTCGTGTTCGATTTGGGGGGCAGGCGAAAACCAAAGTGTTCGTGTCAAAATTGGCCGCGACCAAATTTAGGTCGCGGCCGTTTTGAGTTTGAGCTCATTTCTTGAGCTCAAACTCAAAATGACTTTGGCGCTTAGCCCTCCCTCCCACAAGCGCCATAGCCTTGCGGTTTTAAGAGCCATCACACACCATTCCTTCACTTTTACACTGACATTTCATTTAACAAGTTAACAGTGTAGGGTAATTTCAGAAACACTAAGGGTTGGTAGCTACGGGATCAAGCTTGTAGAGGTCAATTCTCTAGTTTCTGACCTGTGTGAAAATCGCTTTCGGACCTGTGTGACTATATCGAATATCCCCCTGGGCGAACACGAACATGTTCGCCTTGAACATGTTCGTGTTCGCCTGCTGCAGCAATTCGTTCGCCTCCTAGGGCGAACGGCGAACACCAATTTTCGCCCAAGTCGTTCGCCGAACTGAACACTGTTCGGTTCGGCAGAAGTCGATGTTCGAGAGGGGGCGAACTCGGAGTTCGCCCCCTCCTCATCCCTATCCTCAACCAACCCCAACGCTTTGGTGTGATAACGAGAGCACCATTCATCTCACCAAGGACCCTGTTTTCCACGTCCGCTCTAAGCACATTGAAGTCCGTCACTACTTTCTTCGTGAGCTGGTGCAGCGCGAGCAGCTGAAGGCTGACCACATTCCCTCCGACTGCAGCCTTGCTGACTTGTTTACCAAGTCACTTGTTCGCCAGGACCATTAATGGGTGTTGGGCCTCCCTGTGGCTGATATGTTGCAGCCTAGGGGGTGTGTTAGAGATAGGCTGTCAACACTTGGTGTACTAAATTCTATTTCTTGTAGGTTATTTGTATGTTGGGTGTAGATTGTGATCCCAACCCTATCTGGTTCGGATTCCCTTGTAATCCTGCAAATCTGCCAACTCATCATTGGAGATTTGCAAGGATCCCCATCCCATCCTTTCCCAACCCAACCTTGTTTGTACTTAAGGCCTAGTGCCTTCTCTACTAATCAATCAGCTGAGCTCGATTTCTATCATGTGTGTTGTGTTATTTCATGTGTTCAGCCAGTCAGAAAGTGTCGTGATTGTTCATGAGTGTTTCATGAAGCGTTCATGTAATGTCGTGCAAGTTCGTGAGTTTCTTGGTGAAGTTTGTGAGATGTGTTTGAGTGTGTTTTAATGAGTGCGTTTGTAATTTCATGTTTGTCCATGGGAGTTCAGGGGATTTCGCCCCTGGTCAAGATTTTGAAGGGGTCAATGTTGACCCTCAGATTTTTCCGTGCTGGTCAGGGCTCGAGGCCACAAGCCCAAGCCCCGTTGCACCTCTGGCGTAATCATGGGAGTGTGTCAATTGTGGAACACGCGCGGCCTAAGGCCGTAATTCAATTTGCGGCCACACGCGCGAGTGTAGCAGTGTGGTGGCTCGTGCGAAAAGACGAGCGCGCATGGGTCCACGATTGAATTGGTGGGAACCTCGAGCTGTTTGTCCTCATTCTCCGATGTGGAAATTTCGCCGGGGTGTTTCGCGACATGCGCGATTTGCATTCAAAGCTAGTGAGATTTGTGCCAGAGTAATTTCAACGACTACGTAATTTCGTCGGGTAACTACGCGAATTCTTCAGGTGTTTTCATCAGCTGTAACGAGCTGTCGCCACAAAACGCCACAAGTTTTCGCGAGCAAGTATGGCCCTTGGTAATAAATGTGGGCGAGTATGTTGCTACTGATTTCGCATGGTGAAAGTTAGCAATTAGGAGTATGTTGCTAGCTATTATTTTGGTGGGCTATTTGCTTTCGTTTTTTGTGGGTTGGTATAAATTTGCGCTTGTGTTTGTTTGTCATCAACTCTTTATGAATGAAATATTCTCTATCAACGTATTGACGTGAGGAGAATTATCTGCACACGAGCCAATCAGCCATCCAACGCTGCGTAACGGAGCTTGGGAGCATTCTAGTGCACACTATCGTATTCACACTTGGGAAGTTCCTCTACAAACACGGACCCTTGGTTAGGGGCTGGTTCTACCAAGCACCCGAGGACTTAGTTGGATTTGATACTCCAGCATGCCAGCATCAAGCGTCAAAACGGAGCGTTTAGGTGCTTGACGGTCCCAGAAAAAAAAATCGGGCAACTTGAAATCAAAATTTGTTTCCGACGCAACAAAAATTCCACTTCTGGACATCGCGACTGCTAAGGCACTCGACATCGCGACTGTCAAGGCACTTGCTAAGTCGACTACTAAGGCACTCGACATCGCGACTGCTAAGGCGACCACTAAGGCACTCGACATCGGGACTGCTAAGGCAACATCACGACTGCTAAGGTGACTGCTAAGGCAACATTGCGATTGCTAATGCAACATCGCGACTGCTAAGGCGACTTATTAAGGCACTCGATGTCGGGACTGCAATGTCTCTCGACATTGAACCACACAGGAAAGCCTAACACAAAATCCAACCCCTCCACCCCTTTCGACCGCACTACAACTACATAACCCAACCTGCACAGCACACACACATTTCACTCGACATTGCACCACAACAGAAAACACATTTCAATAAAAATCAACCCCCCTACCTCTTCCCACTGCACAAAATCCACAATGTCCAACCAAAAGTGATTTTGGCTGCCCGAAAGTTTTTTTGCCTGCCCGCCAGAGCGTCACTTACATCGTCAAAATCTCAGAGTGTTCCGTCCAGCGTAAAAAACGGACCGACAAAACGGAACCGTCAAAACCGCTAGCTTCGTCAAATCAAACTAAGCCCGAGGACCCTTGGAGATGACCCCATGGGGATAATTGAGTGGTGATTAAAGGTGTGCTTGGACATTTCTAGTCCCAATAGTATTCAACACTTGCTCATGCTAAAATCAAACAAATAACGAGATTTAAACAGTAATTGAAGGAATGAATCAGAGCCATCCAAGCTAAAGGTGAAGTTATAATAAAATCTCATTGATACTTACAAGTAATTTAGTCTGCTCATGCCGATGATAGATGGAATGGACCCAATCAATCCATTATGTGATAGATCCCTGATGATACATACACGCAACGGGTTCCATCCAAGGAAAAGGAAGGATAGAGTAAGTAGTTGGGGTGAGAGAGAAGTGGAAGAGTTTGAAAAATCCATGAAAGTAATTATAATAGCTCACACATTCACTCTAATAAGCATTTGTAGACATGGAACATTACATTTAATTGTGGCACGAGGTACGCAAATACAAATGTGCTCAAAACGTTGTGCTGAGATAGCGAACTGTTAACATGAAGACAATCAATACTCAACTAACAACCTTGCAACCTTTTGAGAGTGTCGGTCCATGCGCACAACAATAAGATAGGGTCGCTGGTTGTCCAACTCATTCTTTGTTGTTTGCTATATTGAGTTGGACATGAATGAAGGTTCGACCACTTTGGGAGGAAGTTATGGAGATTGTTTTTACTTCGGATCATTTTTACGGGAATTTTTACTAAAACCCCTCGTAGGTAGGTGCCGTTGGGTGCAACCAAGGATAAAAAAAACGACCAAATTATTGATTTTTTACCGTATTATACGGAATCGTTTTAAACGGTCGTATTATACGGTTAAATACGGTAAAAATGTGTTTTATTATTAAGTTTAAAAATACGGTCGTTTTAAACGACCGAAAATTTGAAAGCGAGACAGTGTTTATCGAATTTCACATTTTTCCCCAAGTAGCCCATCAATTTGTTTCCGGTCGCACAAATTGCAGCAGGATTAAATTTCGCCCGAGTCGCGAATTTACGCCGCATTCGCCTCGCGACATTGAAGGCATTTGGCGATGGCGAACAACGGGATTACCTGTTTCGCCATCGCCAAATTTGATTCGCCGAAGCGCAACGTGAATAAAAAACCGAGTCGCAACATTTCGACATTTGACGAACAGTGCACCACAGTGTACCCGTTTCGCCTTGGCCGTTTTGAAAATTCGCGCCCACCTTCAAATTTTCGCCCACACTCGCGACACAACCCAACCTTCGCGATCCGAATTCGATCGAGCCAATCATGTCCCCTCATCTGAACTGACCCCCCTTTCAGAATTCACTCGACACACAGCAGTCACTAAGGCACTCACAGGTACCAATAGGAGCACCAAAACCATACTTTTGCATATCTTCCTAGTACTACAGCCTGACCAACCTCTCGTTTAGTGCAGCAGAGACCTCATGGTACGACCTTTGTCGAAAGCATGGAAACACGCAGTGACGGAGACTGGTCCTGACGGCTCCGTCACTGCGAAATGCAAACACTGCGGCAAACCCGTGACGGCCAGCGCGACGCGCATAGAACAGCATGTGTTCGGGACGCCTTCGCAGAAAGAGAAGAATGTGACGCCCTGTGACTCTGACGTCGCAAAGCAACTTCGCGTGGAAGCAGAGCAAGACCGCTCGTCAGTCGGCCCATCAAACCGCGCCTCATGTTCTACTACGGTTGAGATTCTGGCCCCTCGTCGCGCTAGGCAGCGCGACATCCGCGACATGGCGGATACGACTGCTCGCTCTCGTTTGGACTACCTCTGGGCAGGGGCAGTTGCGGAGAACGACTGGGCGTTCCAGTGTTCAAAGTCGAAATCGGTGCAGGCATTCGTCGATGCGGCTCTCGCCTTCGCGAAGCCATACACCCTCCCTTCCCCCTACAAGGTTGGAGGTCAGCTACTTATGAAATTACGGGCGGATACCGAGGAGCTTGTGAAGCCAATGACGGATAGCTGGGGCAGGCGCGGCTGCACCCTCACGTGCGACGGGTGGACTTGCTTGAAGAGCTGAGGGCTTGTGTGCGTTATCGCCCTCAACGACACGGCACCGGTGATCGTTGAAACAGTCGACTCGAAAACGGCAAAGAAGACTGGCGCCTATCTTGCCGGCCTCCTCCAAAAAGCCATCTGCAAGGTGGGGGACAAGGCCGTCGTCCAAGTTGTCATGGACAACGCGGCCAATAACCGGAGGGCGGCCGACATTTTGCGCGAGGGATACCCATCAATCTTCTTCAACAACTGTGCCGCGCATGTTCTTGACCTCATGCTTCACGACCTCGGGAAGATTCGTGCGGTGAAACGGGTCCTAATTCAGGTGCGCCGAGTGGTCATGATGGTGAAGGGAAGCGCATCCGCCGTCACTCTCTTCCATGAGGTGTTTAGCGAGCTTGCTTTGGTGCGGCCTGGTGCAACTCGGTTTGGCACGAACGTCATCATGCTCACCCGATTCCTTGAAGTGAAGAAGGCGCTGCGACAGATGGTCATTAGTGAGGAGTGGGAGGGGGTGGCGGTGGCAAAGCAGGACGAGGGGAAGGCGGTCCGGTTCCTCCTCTTGGATGAGGTTTTCTGGGATTGCGCAACGGCGGTGCTTGCCATCTTGCAGCCCGTGTATGTCGTCCTTCGGGTCGTCGACACGCGGGCTCTAGTCATGGGGCAAGTGTATGGCCTCATGCTAGAGGCCACGGTGAAGACCAATGAGGCGGCCAAAGCTGGAGGTAAGAATACCCTTGCTTGCACGAACCACCTTCCCGCCCATTGATTGTACATGTCGTGGGCAGCCGCCATGCTTGTATGTCTCTCCCTCACCTATACTTGCCTTTGACTCACGTGTCTCTCGTTTGTACATGTCATGGGCAGCCGCCATGCTTGTCAAGCGCACGTCCCTGCTTGCGGCAAAGGATAAGCCATCGTTCTTGGCGGCCATCAAGGCTATCATAGCCAAGAGGTGGGACGGCCAGTTGCATAACCCACTCCATGCGCTCGGGTGGCTACTCAACCCGCGCAATCAGTACTTGGGGGAAGTGAGGGAGGACCAAGAGGTGATCAATGGGGCGGAAGAGGTCATACAAGCACGTGGCGGGGATGTCGCTCAGCGCACTCTCATCCAAGCACAGTTAGCACAGTTCCACAAGGGCGAGGGGCGGTTGGGGTCCCCCGACGCACGATGGGCTGCAAAGGTTTTGGTGGAGGGAGGGCGCTTGACCGATGCGGAATGGTGGTGGATGTACGGGGGGGAGGTGCAGGCGCTCCAAGCGCTTGCGGTGATGACGCTATCTCAGCCGGTAACGTCATCCGAGGTGGAGCGTTACTGGTCAGCCATTGCACGTGTGCAAAGGCGTGACCGTAACCGCATCTCTGCCAAGAAGATGATGGACGTGACTTATGTCGCGTTCACGAGGAGGGCCCGGGATACTTTTGACAGGAAATCCACGATGCGGGAGAAGCTCTACGCTGATCTGAGCAACGGCACCCTCAAGGAAGGGTGTGTCGTCGCTCCGGCAGAGGCAGAGGTGGAGGAAGAGGAGGAGGAGGAGGGAGAGGAGAATGCGGGATGTACCATTGACTGGGATAATTTCGGGCAGATTGGTAAGAAGAAGAAAAAGGTGGGAAAAAACTCTAAAAGGAAGAGGAACGGCACCGCAGCCAAGCCTTGCAAGGGTAAGGGGAAAGAAAAGGCTGTGCGTGAGGATGAGGAGGAGGAGGCGGCGGACAACAGTGGCCAGGAGGAGGAGGATGTGCCCACCAACAGGACTCGCCGCACGGGCGCGGGTCCGTGGGACATCAATGATGGCTCGAGCGGGGAGGAAGAGGAGGAGGAGGAGGAGGAGGAGGTGGTGGAGGAGGAGGAGGAGGAGGAGGTGGAGGAGGAGGAGGAGGAGGAGGAGGAGGAGGAGGAGGAGGAGGAGGAGGAGGAGGAGGAGGATGATGAGTAGAGGAGGGGGGTGATGTTCAACGTAGGAGAGAGAGAGGCAACGGAGGTGAGAAGTAGTGGGTAAGTGTAAGTTGTAGTGGATAGCTCAAAGAGGGAGAGGGGTGATGTTGTGTAGTAGTAGAGTAGTAGTGGTGTACAAGTAGCTAGCTCTATTTCCAGCATTAGCATGTAGTAGGCAGTTCAGGCATTTCAGCATTGAAAAAATAAAATAATGCAAAAAAAAAGTCTATCAAAAAAATGCCGTTTTTTACCAAAAACTGCCGTATAATACAACCGTTTTAAACGGACCGTTTAATACGGTAACCGTATTTTTCATCCTTGGGTGCAACACATGGTTTGCACGACAGCCTACCACCTATTCGCCAACGTTGAGTGATAGTGTGGTAATTCGTTTTCAAGTAATTTATTATGTGTGAGTTGCGCATTTTTGTGCCTTGGGTTTCCATGTTTACGGCTCGTAAATCGCCTCGACGGTTCATGAGTTATGTGCATTTTGTGAAAAAATGTGTTCCTGAGTGTTCGTGAATGTCTGTGTGTGATTGCGAGACTTCGTGTGCGTTTGCGATGCTTCGTGAGCTGTCATGAGTGTGCGTTGATTTTATGCTCGTGAATTTTCTGCGTTCGTGAAATTCCGTGAAGTCTGTGCGTTGTTCATGAATGTTTGTGAGTGCTCAAGTTAGTTTCTGTTTTTCATTTTTCGTGTGTGATCATGAAATGTCGTGGGTGTTCAAGAGGGTCAACATTGACCCTTGGACATTTTCGCGTTGGTCAACGGTCAAGCGCGCGTGAATCTTTGTTGACTACTGAAAAAAAAATCTGTAATTCAATGAGTCGATTTTATCTGGGAAGGTTTGCATTCAGCAGCTGCAGCAGAGAAGCAAGTTTTTTATTAGTGAGAGGTCTTGAAAGGCTGACTTTGGGGGCGAGAGAAAAAGTTGACTTTGAGAGTTGAGCTGATAATGAGTCAGCAGTTGCTCGCGTCACGATTTTTTTAGGGACGCGATTAGCAGTTGCTCAAGTGATTTGAGCGAGCAAACTGTTCGAGCTGTGGTGATTTTCAGCAGCTGTGATTGGCTGCGGTTCAAACGGAAGTTCGGGTTGTGCTCGAGCGAGCAACTGTTCGCGCTGCCAGTTTAGAGGTACTCTGATTGGTCACTGCTCGCGATGCGTGTTCATTTCGTCAGTTCGCGAGCAGCTGTTTGCGCCATGTGGGAGTAACGCAAGTGTTACCCGCTCGCGATACGTTATTTAACGCTGGTGGCGAGTCCAGCGAAGTGTTCGTTTTGAGTTAGGTTATCAACGTTCTGAACATGCGTCGCGAACAGGTTACGAACAGGTTAGGTTACGAACAGGTTCTGAACAGGTTACGAACAGGTTTCGAACGGGTTACGAACAGGTTACGAACAAGTTCTGAACAGGTTCTGAACAGGTTAGGAACAGGTTACGGACAGGTTTTTTACAGGTTCTGAACAAGCTGAATTCGCTCATTTCGAACGGAATCCATCTGAACCGTTAAAAAAAAGGGCGCCAATCATATTTTACGAATTGGCACCGTTGAAGCTGTTTGCGCGGGAAGTTCAAAATATTTTGGCAAAGAGACGCGAACCCGCCAGACCACAAAATGAAGCGGCGGGAGTTTTGAAAAATGTGCGCGCTACGACGAAGGAAGTCACAAACTGTAGAAACAAAAAATGCTAGAATAGATTGCAGTAGGTTCAGTATCAACTGGTTGCACTTGCTTTGTTCAAATATAACTTTAGTAAATGATTTCTCCTGTGCCTGCTGCAAGTACGCTGCAATAGTTTATTCTCTGGACAACGAAGGGACGATTGCTGCTACACTTTAGCTGTTGCTGCGACTCTCTCTCTACACACTCGGACCCTTGGATAGGACCTGACCTCGGTCAGGCACCCAAGGACCCTCGGAGGTGACCCCAAGGAGAGAGTTCTAGTGCACCTAAAGGTCGTTAGTAGCTACTTTAGTACGTTTCAAGACTAACAATCTTGACCGCGAGTGTGGTCTTGATTTCGCGCGTGGGCCCTCAGGGCCCAAGCGTGTGTCTCGTAGTTAATGCGAGGGTGTGGCACGTTACTGTTACGCGAGGGCACAAGGCCAATGAACGCAACAGACAGAGCACGTTTGTACACTGTTGAGCACGATCGAAAATATCGATCGTGCAAGATTGCGCACCTGAGGGGTGCGCGTGTGTTTTGGGGGGTGCCGCGAGATCCCGAGGGGTGCTCGGGTTTGCTCGAGATTGCAATTTCGTAACTGAATCTCGAGCCACGTCATTTACCGTGCGTGGCAACACAGAAATTTCGCGAGAAAGCAGCGCACGTAAAGAGACAATTTAGATACAGGGAAAAACGGTGAAAACACGTGAAGTAACTTTAAGGCTTTGTGAAAAACGGTGAGAAACCGTTTTGTAACAGTAAACGTTCGTAATAACGGTGTTCCCACATGAGCGTTCATGATAGCGCATGGGAAATCATGAATGTTCGCGAAGGGAGTCAGCAGGAGAATTTGGCAAGAGTGCATTTCGAAGACAGTTATTTTATCAAGGCAATGAAGCCAAATTCAAGAGCAGTTTCGTAACTGTTTTCAAGGACAGCAAGGCGAAGTGCTGAAGACTAGTTAAACAATTGCTTTGTGCTTTCCTATGCTTGTGTGTTGGGTGAAATATAAATGCGTCCTTTTGTTCAGTTGTAATTCAATCCTTGAAGTAAAGTTCTTCTCCATCAACGTATGGACGTGAAAAAAACTTTCTGTAATTCGTCTTCAATGCTGCGCAAGGGGTCTGGGAGTTCTCTGTTGCACACGATTGGTCTCATACTTGGCGTGTCCCTCTATATAACACGGATCCTTGGATAGGGGCTGGCCTTGCCAGGCTCCCGAGGACCCTTGGAGGTAACTCCGTGGGGACTGTTAAGTGTGAATTAAAGGTGTGCTTCAGAGCTTCAAGATCCCAATAGTAACTAACAGGTTCACCACGTAGATAGGCAAGGCCATTTTTTGGCTCGTGACAAGAAGGCCACTGGCTAGCCACTGTAAGATGATGGTGACCTCCGGCTCATCACAATGTAGGCCATTGCTCATGCTCATCTCTGCACATGCCCATCTCTACTTGCTCATACTCATATGTGCATGCTCCAACAACTCATACTCACAGATAGGTGAGCCTGTCCAAGGCACTGATGGAGCCCGCAATAGATCCGGTTAAGCGTTCGTTATATAGATAGCTGATGGGCAGTGGAATGGAACGGGTGGAGAACATTATAAATTTTAGGAGGAAATAAAAGGAGAGATTGTTGAATCCATCAAGGTGGTTTGAGACGATGAGGCCTGTGCAGCCCACATTTTGTCCGCATATGCCTGCATGGATGGAGATGGTAGAAACCTGAGAGGAGCATTAGTTTGGTGTTTTGTTGCATTAACTTCTTCCACTATGAGCCATGCAAGGAAAATGGGAGGAGATGGAGGGAAGGGGATGATAGATGGATCAGGCAACACTAACACATGGTTTAGCCTAGGGATATAAATAAATAGGTTCTGTGATGGCATTAAAAGGAGGTTATAATATTGGGCTTTCGAACTCGGGATGAGCACAGGCCGCCCCATGCCCGGCCAGGGCGGGCCAGCCATGCTGATGCGCCTAGACTGGGCCAGCCCAGGCCAGGCCGGCCAAACATGGTTGTCGATCCATGGCCCGGCTGAATGTGACGGGCCGAGGGCAGCGTGACCTGGGCCGACTGTGGTCCGGGGAAATCTGGCCCGTTTCAGCCTAAGTTGACTCTAACGTTTTTTTAACCACGTTAGCGTTGGTTAACACGTTGACTAACGATTTACACTAACGAACGTTGACGGCCATGACTAATGTTGGGCTTCAGCACAAAAAAAACGTTAAAAACAAAAAACAAAAACAAAAACAAAATAATAAAAAACGTCAACAAGGATTCGGCACCCTTCCTCATGCTTCAGTGGTTCAACAACAAAAAGGGAAGGATGCATTCATCAATGGAGAAGTGGAGGAGGAACGAAACGAATGGAGTGCACAGCACAGGAAGGGTGGAAACATCTGTTGGTGTTGGAGTGGATAGTAAAGTAGAGCTTAAGGCTGAAAAATAACACAAAAATAACTAGGAGTAAGTAATTACCACATCGAATGTCCTTATGTGGGCAGCCTAAGAAAAATCATTGGCTGCCCGAAAACGTTAGTGCAATTTTGGTCAACTGTTCGTAAACGTAAAAGCTATTCGTAAACGTTCGTAAATGTAAATCGACGCTAGCGTTAAATCCATTTTAGGTTTCAGCCCACCGTAAAATATGATTTTGCTACTGATTAGCCACAGACGCTCCGGTGAACGAGCACCCAAATGCACGTCCAAATGCGGGTCAAAATGTGTGTCCGGGCAAAGTGGAAAAAAACGATTGCAGAAGAAAATGATTGTTTGTTTTGATGGTATTTTATGGTACATTTTGGGAAAAAAATATGTCGTTTTTTTGTTAGACAAGAACGAGCGCCTCAATGTCAAAGATGCTATTGTGACAAAAAAACAAAAAACAAAAACCACTTCACAGCATCTCTTGTAGGCTTGAGCAAAAGACTCGGTTGGGTCGGGTTAGCCCGACCTAGCCCGAGAATTTACAGGCCAGTCGGGTCAGGCCTTTCAATGGCCTGGCCTGGCCGGGTCGAGTTGAGCCAAACCGAGCAAAAAAACGGACCCGACAACGAAATTCGGGTCAGGTTGGATCGGGCCTTGGGCCGACCTTGGCACAACTCGAAATCGGGTCAAAAACAGGGTAATCGGGTCGGGCTTTGACTCGGCCCGATTTCGACACAAGGGAAAACCCTAAGGTCGATATCAAGGGGATATTTTCCCCTCCACATCAGTCCCGCTATGTAACTAACCGTCAGCCAAGAAATCCTAGTTTCTAGGCAAGTACTAGTCGACTAAGTGCAGAGGATCAATGTCGCCAGCTCTATAAAGAGTGAGAGGGGGG